CGGCAGCTCCGTGCCCGGCTCCCAGCTCATGGCGGGGAGCAGCAATCCCCCAGCACTTCCCGGGGGCTGCTGTCAGACCACTGTCCTCCTGGATAAGTGTGACACTTCCCTTCTGCAGGGCCCTGAGGAAAAGCAGAACTGGCTCGTGTGGCTCCCCTGGAGCCTCCAGGTCTGCCTGTTGTACCTGAAACCAGTTCGGGGCATGGCTCTGAGGCAGGCTGCAAACTGGAACACTGTTCTCTGGGAGGAGGCTCTGCAACCTCCAGCCTTAGCTCCCCTCCCAGTTAATTTTTTCCAGAACATGCAGTGATGCATGTTATTTTAAAGGGAAACGAGCTGGTGCCAAGCCTCTAGCTGGATGAGCACATTTTGGGGGCTTCATATCTTCTGCAGCAACTTCTGTAAAGACGGGCTGGAACCCATTTCTCCCTGCCAGTCTAGCCCATCAAGCTCCTGCTGCAGCTGGTGAACAACTGGTGAGGTGAACTCCTCAAGATGGCTCCTTTGCGTTTGAAGGCAGCATGCCCCAATGACACTGTTTCCTTAAGGAAAAGAGAGTGGCTGTGACATTGCACTGCCATGATAGGAGGAACTCAACATGTTTTAAAGCTCCTCAGAAATCCTGCTTGGCATGTGTGGTAGTGGCTGTGATCCCAGAGCACCTTCCTGTTACATGGCTGGAGGGGGTCACAGTGACTGTTTTCCAGTGCCCATGAGAGATCTGCAGCAGGATCCTGCTGGGTGAGCAAGCAGCACTACAGCATCCAGCCAGGCTCGAGGACAGGAGCAGCTCATTCCTTTCTTCAGCAGGGGCTTGGCTGCGGGCTTGCAAAGTTTACTTCCCAAGAATAAGGCCCCTTACCAGTGTCATGCCACAGGGAGCTTTTCCCCTGCAGCTGTGACCATCCTTCCCAGTCTGCTGCAGGCAAGCCCAGGTCAGAGGTCTGCTCTTTCTCAACGGGGAACTGAGCCCTTTGGGGCCCCTGGGGAGTTTTCTCTGGTTGGGAGCTACAGACCAGCAATTTTGCCATCCTGCACAGGCAGCATTCGGGGAGCAGTTCTGAAAAGGTCACTGCACAGCAAAGGAAAATATCCAACTGGGGTTTTCAGAATAAGAGGCAAGGATTTGATGTATAGGATTGTTGCATTTTGAAATCAACAGCTAGTGTTAGACAATTGCAGTCACATTACTTGGTTGGAGCCAGAGACTTGTCCTGTGCACAATCCTGCAGCAACAGCCCTGCCACATCTGGACACATCTGCAACTTGTGCGTTTGAGTTCTCCATGATTGAACACGTATGATCAGGGAGCCAGTTCAGTTTAACATCTTTATGTTCTGCCTCTGTGGGGTGGTGTGGAGTCCTTGGCAGGGCTAGCCCTGCCCCAAGGCTGCTTGGGGCAGGTGTCCTGTAGCTGTGCCGAGCTGCCATCCTCTGCTGCCTTCGTGGCACCATGACCAGCAGGCAGGGACAGTCCTACCCGCTGCCTGCACTTAGGGGCTGGAAGGGACCTCGAGAGATCATCTAGTCCAACCCCCCTGCCAGAGCAGGGTCACCTAGAGTACATCACACAGGAACTCATCCAGGTGGGTTTTGAATGTCTCCAGTGAGGGAGACTCCACAACCTCCCTGGGCAGTCTGTTCCAGTGCTCTGTCACTCTTACAGTAAAAAAATTTTTTCGGATATTCACCTTGAACTTCCTATGCTCCAATTTACACCCATTACCCCTTGTCCTATCACTGGTCATCACTGAGAAAAGCCTAACTCCGTCCCCCTGACACTCACCCCTTACATATTTGTAAACATTGATGAGGTCACCCCTCAGTCTCCTTTTCTCCAAGCTAAAGAGACCCAGCTCCCTCAGCCTTTCCTCATAAGGGAGATGTTCCACTCCCTTAATCATCTTCGTAGCTCTGCGCTGGACTCTTTCGAGCAGTTCCCTGTCCTTTTTGAACTGAGGGGCCCAGAACTGGACACAATACTCCAGATGTGGCCTCACCAATGCAGAATAGAGGGGGAGGAGAACCTCTCTTGACCTACTAACCACACCCTTTCTAATGCACCCCAGGATGCCATTGGCCTTCTTGGCCACAAGGGCACATTGCTGGCTCATGGTCATCTTCCTGTCTACCAGGACCCCCAGGTCTCTTTCACCTACACTGCTCTCCAGCAGCTCAGCCCCCAACCTGTACTGGGACATGGGGTTGTTCTTCCCCAAATGTAAAACTCTGCACTTCCCCTTGTTGAATTTCATCATGTTTCTCCCCACCCAACTCTCCAGCCTATCTAAGTCTCTCTGAATGGCAGCACAGCCTTCTGGTGTGTCAGCCACTCCTCCCAGCTTAGTGTCATCAGTAAACTTGCTGAGGGTACATTCTGTTCCCTCATCCAGGTCATTGATGAAGATGTTGAACAACACCGGTCCCAGTACCGACCCCTGTGGGACTCCACTAGTCACAGACCTCCAACCAGATTCTGCCCCATTGACTACAACTCTCTGACTCCTTCCTTTCAACCAGTTCCTGATCCACCTCACTACCTGATCACCAAACCCATACTTGATCAACTGATCTGATGGGGAGGTCCCTCTCACCTCTCCTGTAACAGCCTCCTCCCAGCTCTTATCTGCTCCCAGCCCTGGTGCTGGGGAACCTGGTGAAAATCCGAGTGGGACCTGCCTGGTTCTCTGTGATCTGTGGCTCTCACCTGCCCACCTTCCTCTCCCACCCTCATTGCTTTTTTCACCAGGTTCCAGCATTCAGAGCAGCATCTGGAACAGGGACAGTCTTGTCCCCATGGCTGTGGGAGGTGTGAAGAGTAGCAGCTGATTTAACATTTCAGCTCACCTGACCCTAGGAGGATCCATCCCACACACAACACAAACCACTCTCGGCCAGGGCAGGTGCTGAAGCTGCTGAGCAGTCATGAGCTCTGCCAGCAGCAGAACACCTGCACCAGCCACCTGGATGCTGTTGCTCATGCCCCCTGTGCTTTTCTTCTGAAGCCAAGACTGGAGCAGCTTTATTGGCTCCCACTGCCTCAGGAACCCACCATGTGCTCCACAGCCCCAGATGGTGACATAACCCAGGATCTTGTGGCTCTGGAGGAGCCACCTTCAGCCAGGATTGAGCCTGATCAGAGATGGTTGCTCACAGTTTGAAGCCAGGTTGAAAAGTTGTCCCTGTCCCAGGGTGAAGCTCTGGGATATCTGCTCGGTGGCCACGGGCCCCCTGTGTGCAGCCACTCCTGCTCCAGAGCAGCCTCTTGACCAGCATCCTCATTCACCCATCCCAGCCCTGACCCAGTGCCTGCCAGAGCCTGTCCCTTTCTAGGTAATCCACACTAGGAGGGTTTGATACTTCATCCATATTTACTTCTCTCTAGACATTTGATGGATTCTGATGTAGCAGTGATACAAACATACTGCAATCACAGCATGAGCACAGATGTAGGGTGGGACTGCAGCACAAACGTGATGCCCAGCACTGCCCCGTTCACCTTTCATTAGGGTGCAGCACAGGGAGGTTTCTGGCAAGGGTAAAAACAAAGCGCATGGGTCTGCACCGCTGAAAGCAGCAGTTCAGTGTTTTCTCCATTTCTCATCCTGCACAAAAGCTGAGCAGGACACTGCATAATAATCCAAAACATTTCTTAAGAGATGAGAGGTAGCAGCATCTGGCAGCTCCCTAACCCTGGTGCAGTGAGGGAGAGGAAGCACACAGAGAAAAGCCTGTGCTGGGTACACAGCAGTTCATCTGGTACACTCTGTACTCCTCGTTCTGTCCCTTGGCAAGTGTTCTTCATGCTGAATTCTCCGCATGAATTTCTCTTGTTGTTAAATGAACCATACTCTGATAGCAATAATAGCTATTGGAAGGTGTTCATTAATTAGGTATTGATGCCGGCTAGTTAAAGGATGACCTTTGCTTCATGCCTCAGAGAGTGTCTGACATGTTTATCAATATGTTTTGATTCACAAGCCTTGCTGATTATTGCATGCCTGCCCATCAGATACAGAAAGTGTTTAGGAAGTTTTTAATGAGACCTCTGCTGACCAAGGAAAGGTTTGTGGGCATGGTGGTAAATAGGAAGGAAGTGGGCTCCTGAGCATCTCAACTGACTAGAAAGTTTCCAGTTGGTGAAACAAAAATCAGAAGGATTTACCCCGATATGGAAACCTTGGCTGTATTTATTACACGGGTGTAATGCCCTCAGATTAGTGTGCTGGTTCTGGTACTGGTGAAGTTACTGTAACACTGGAGGATGTTGACTAAATACTAAAGATGTTATTGTGAATCCTTACGATGTGAGAAGTAGTTAAGTGTAAATGAACTGATCTGGTCTTGATTTTCAGAATATATGAAGAAATGGACATGAGTTTGTAACTAAGGCAGCCAGAGCAGCCAGAACATATTGTGAGTGTCGTATCTTGGAATTTCTTTGAGGTGAGAACCTGCTTCAGCTGTTCATCATTTTGCTCCACTACCCACAGAAATCACTAATGCACCCTTACTGAAAAGATTATGTTTTCTAAAAATACTTTGAAAACTGCAAATGATGAAATGTTAACCTCATCTCCCTGCTTCTGCTGAAAGGATCCTGTAGTTATTTAGGCAGATCTGTGTATGGCTGGTTAGAGCTGAATCCACTGACAGCCAAGCGAGGGTGAGACTTTCCAGGTGTCCATCTGAGACAAACACCTCTTGGGAGGACCTCTTGCTCAGTAAGGTCTGGACCTGCTCTGTGCCAACAGTCACTGGTCAGAACTTCATGCCACCATCAGCTCACTAGCCTGTGCAGTGAGCTGCAGCAGTGCCCAGGGCAGAGCAGCTGTGCTGGGACTCAGGTCACTGTACCAATGTCTTCCCACAAGAAAATCAGAGAGCAAGAATAGATGTTGCACCCATGAGCATCCACAGACTTACGGATGTTTCACCTGTGTAGTAGTATTGACAGAACTTCAGCAACAACCGTAATTACAACCTCTTACACAGAGTATATTCTACCAGGAACAAAATTGTCAGTGAGTAGAGCACAGGCTTTTATGATTAGCTTTGCAAAGACCAGGAGTTTCCTTACAGGCCAGGGTGAGGAGCAGGGGCCTGGCCAGGGGCCAGCGTTGCTGGTCCAGGCTGGTGATGCTGCCGCACACAGAGCTGGGCGCCTGCCCTGCCCGGGGAGCTGCGGTTCCCGCCGGCAGAGCCGGCCCGTTTTGCTTCTCTCCAGCCGCTGGCAATGCCACCCCCTCCGGCACCACCAGAGCTGTGGCTGCAGTGAAGCTGCCGCGGCGTTGGGAGCACTGGCGTGGGCTGGGACCACCCGACCTGGGCAGGGGCAACTCCGTCCCTGGGGCTTCTGCACAGGCTGCCCTAGTTTGGCTGGGCAGTTCTGCTGGGCTGGATCACAAATCGTCATGGCTGGAAAAGACCTCGGAGATCACCTAGTCCAACCATCCACCCAGGGTGGAAGGAGCAACACAGCCCACTCAAAGAAACAGCAACAAAAAACCAATCAAAACTTACAACCACCCACCCAATAAAACCAACAACCCCACACAACCCACAAAGAAGCCCCCATGCCCACTAGAGCATGCCCTGCAGTGCCACATCTACACATTTCGTGAATCCCTCCAGGGATGGTGACACTTCCACCTCCCTGGGCAGCCTGTTCCAGCCCCTAACGATGAGCACGAGGTGCTGGTGGAATAAGGTGGGAATGAGGGATCTGCTGGAGCCACAGCCCGGCCTGGCTGCACTTTTGAATCTTCCCATCACTGCTTTCCCGGGCAGGAGCAGTAAGCCTTGAAAAGTGATTCCACAGCAAGTGAACACCAGGCTGCAGCTGAGCAGTCCCACAGAGGTATTATTGAGTTATGGCTTCTACCACCTGACATCTCACTAATTCAGTCATTCCTTTCATAGGAAGCTCCAGACATAACTGATTTTCATATATTATTAAGAAAAATCAAGAGAGTGCAACCTGGCATTTAAGTCACAGACTGCTGCTTGTGTGTCTTTTCAAAACCTATTTAACCACTCCACTGTCTATTCAGCACAAGTTATGCTATCATGCCATGCAATTTAGTCACCTCAGCACTAACACGTTTTATAAACAAGCCACCAGAGCAGCCTTTGTTAGTTGTCTTGTGCTGCTGACCTGGAAGGTCCCTTACGAGCACTCAGATGTTGTTGCCAAAAACAATCCTGCCATTTCTCCTTGCCAGCATAAGCACCTGTAGAGTTGTGAAGGGAACTGATCCAGCTGGAAAAAAAAAAAAAAAAAAGTTAATAATTTCCATGCACGAGTGGGGATGGTCCTAGAATTTCAAGGCTTTCCAGCCTTTGTCTGATGAAAGAGATGAAGGCCACACACCCCTTCCCACCAAGGCTATGACAGCATCAAGAGCCCCTGCAAGGAGACATTGGAATGGACTGCCCAGGGAAATGGCAGAGGCACCATTCCTGGATGTGTGCAAGGAAAAGCTGGATGTGGCACTTAGTGCCATGGTCTGGAGATGTGGTGGTGTTGGTCATAGGCTGGACTTGATCTTAAAGGTTTTTTCCAGCCTTGGTGACTCTGTGATCCGTGATTCTGAGCCCAGCCAGCTGCCGGGCAACCCAAATGCTCTCCAATGCCACCTCCAGCAGAGCCAGCAGACAGCCCACCACAGCGAGGGGCTCACTCAGCCACCCTGGGCCTGGCCAGAGCTGCAGGTGAAGCCCAGCCCTGATGTGCTGGCTCACGCCAGCGTGGGGGGACAGCAGAGTCCTCCAGCCTTCCTGCTGCCTCAAATAAGGACCCACGTCTTGCGGGTCAGGTATTAACATGTTCTCTCAGAACTGGCCCAGCCTCAGCCTGAAGCAGGAGGCCACAGGCAGCACCAGGTGCTTGGAAGAGGCTGGATGGAGTTTGTGACAACACAGCAAGAGGATTATTTGGCACCACCAAGTGACCCACGAACACAGAGCCCCACCAGCTTGCACACAAGCACTGCTGGTTTAGCCCGTCCCTTACCCACTGTTGGCAAAGACAACAGGGTAGCAGAAACGAGTAAATCAGGTCAGACACAGCAGCACAAAAATGTTGTGTTTATTTTCAGATGTTTCGTAATTCTAACATACTGACATCTTCACATGAGATCTCACTGAAGCATTTGTAAAGTGAAAGGTTGAATGAGCTCTTTGACGTCGCCACCAGGCTCCGAGACAAGGGGCTAATTTCACAGTTTAGGAGACACCAGTCTGGGATATTGCTTCATACTGGAAGACTAGGAAAGCAACGGGCCAGCCGGAGGCTCCAGGGTTTGCTGTGTGCTCCTCCAGATGCACTACACGTCAATGAACAACCAAATTTAAAGCCGCTGCTTCCAAAAATGTTCAAACTTGAATTTTTTCTTAAAGGAAGAAGACAGAAGTCCTCCTGCACAAAGGCTGATGCTTCACAATATTAAAATTCTTATAAAAACAGATCAAAAGTACAGTTAAATATGTTTATCTGCTCGTATTAGTTCTTAATTCCTCTAATCTCCTTACTCACTTAGATGCTTTATTCCTACGCATTGTAAGAATTCAAGGAATTCTAATGTGCCATAGGAAACTAAGAAAATGTAAAAAACCTCCTATTTTAAAAACAACACTAGAAATGGAAGGAGAATTAAACAATCAGAACATTACTAATAAGGCAACACAAGAAAATATTAAAGTACAAAATACTGCATTTTACTGATGTCTCTGTGAGAGTGTTTAGTATAGCTCAATGCTGTTAGTCCCCTGGTATCAAAATTATTATCAAACAAAACGTGGCACATTCTAATGCTTTTTAAAAATGCAGCACATTTCCTTAATACTTATAAAATTAAGAGCCAGAAATATGATCATTAAATAAATCCTGTAACAAAATCTTAACATTATAAAGGAATTAATCCAATCATTCGCTGTGTTTCCATGATCCTGTCTACCTTGGGTGCTCGAGGTGCAAACGACAGGCTGACAGACATTTAGGGTTTTTTTTCATTGTGGAGCAGTGTAATTAGAGATGAAGACACATTTCTTCATTAGCAGACTCCTGTTTTACACAAAGCCAAGTACAGAAAGATTTCCACGCTTCCTTTGGTCTGACAATGCCCGTTTGGTTTCTGTGCTTCAGCACTTCCAATCGTTTTCTGAAAGACCTACGGGACTGGGGGTTGGGATTTCATGTTCAAATAAATCCCATCCAAGATTGTGCTTAGGAAGGCCAACTACCAAGTAGCACTAACTCCATGAAATTCCTGCGTACCATCAGACAGGGATTATTTGCTACACAGAATAAAACTAGAAGGGCAGATGTGCAATTTTTATTTTTAATTTTTTTAAAAAATATTAATGGAAAGCTGTTGCTCTGTGACTTCGATGCCAGGAAATGCAAATCCTGTGTCTCTCCTGGCCAGAAAGCACATGCCGAAGCCCTGAGCCAGCTCCCATTTGGCAGAGCAACATTTATCAGCAGAAGCACTCTAAAATTTTATTTAGAGACCTAATATGCTGATGACTGGCGGTTAGTTGATGTGCATCTTTAACAAAGAAAAGAAGAGGCTGCAGACAGGAATAGTCACAATGGTATCAAAGAAGAGGAAATTAAAAGATCTCCACGAGTCACTTGAAGAGTAACAATCACTGAATTTCTACTATACAAAGTGTACAGTGCTATTTTTAAATTAAATTTAGGCTAGATTTTTTTTAAATTCATGTGGAAAAGTACATTTATGACACTACTTGAAGTGGAAGGACAGATACAGAGAGAGACTTAAATAAATATGGCAGACGAGGATCATTCCTGACTGGCTTGATCTGAGGAACAATCCACAGTTCTGAAGGAAAGCACAGAGGAGGAAATTAAAGCCTGCAGATAAGAGTGTCAGAAAAGGACAATATGCTTACACAATAACGGGGATCAGACTGACTGTCAGCATCTGGAAACAGCAAGAGACTATCTTACACAGTATAAAAAGCCACCACAAGTTATCTCTCTCCTTCAAAATAGCAATGCAGACAAAGACAAGCTCTCTTCAGACTTCCGTGTATATAGAATTTTAACATAGGAGATACAAATTGGTTAAAATACTGCTAAGAATAGCACGAACAAGAAACAGTACTTCACTTACCACTTAATACAAGCTTCTACAGGAAGAAAATCTGTCAGACATCCAGATCTTGCTGTACTCAAAGTATATATACATCTGGCAGTCCAGAAGTTACTTGTCTTGGATTTAATTTAAGCACCTTCAATACACAGTGTCCTTTACTACAAAACAGCCAAGCAGACATTCATAACCCTAGAACTATTTTTATAATTAGCATATTTTTAAAGCATTATGTGAGACAGGCACATCCAAAGCTTTTTGTTCTCTGTTAAAGATATGCTGTCTGTGTTGGCTACACTGAGCAGCCCTGGCACTGCTGTCCACACATAACGCAGCAACTTGTTTTACAGGTCATTTATTTAAATGCTTTCACTTTTAAAAAATACTTTAGGAAAAAAAAAAAAAAAAAGAGGAAATTTGCACTTCAGTTTCTTATACTTGTAACGTGCTACTTCATCAGGTGACCCTCACCCCTCTGCCCTGCAAAGGAATTGCTCAGCTGTGGGGTGTGTTCCCCCAGCTCATCCCCAGGCACGGCAGCGCTGCTGCCAGATCCCCAGCGCCTCGCGCAGCTGCAGCCTCACCAGACCCTGCGAGGTAGGTACAGAAATATCCCCAATTGACAGAACCACCCTGCTGCCAGTGGCATGCTCACACCTCAGTGTTCACCGACACAGGAGCAGCTCTGAGCCTGTGGCCTAGAGGGCAGCGGGGCCCCAGCTCCTGCCCGGTGCACACAGGAGGGTTAGAGCAACGTGCTGGGCAGGTTGCTGCTCTGCCAGCGCAGGCAGGTGGTTTTGGAGTGTTTATAGAGGTGGCTGGACTGGCTGAACCTCTTGCCACACTTCAGGCAGGCATAAGGCTTCTCTCCCGTGTGCACACGGATGTGTTTCTTGCAGTCTGTCAAGGTCAGGAAGGTCTTGCAGCAGATCTTGCAGGCGTACTTGCGCGCGCCTTCCACGACCAGGACGTTGTGCTCGGACAAGGCCTTCTTGCACTTGGAGAGCACATCTGCCGAGGCGCGCGTCAGCTGCGGCGGGCCTGGCTGCGACGGGTGCCCGTTCTCAAAAGACGTGGTCCCGTTCATCATCAGCTGGGAACTGGAGGAGTTATCCTGCAGCTGGGAGCTCCTGACAGAGGTCACCACCGGCATTTTGGGGGCTATGCGGCGGTAGCCAGGGAAGCTGCTTGCTCCTCCTCTGACTGAGCCAATCATGGCTCTGGACAGGGAGTGCAAGCCCAGGCCTGACCGTGGGAAATCCATGCTGAACTGCTCTGCTGCCCGGTAGCCGGAGGTCTGCACGCCGGGGAGACCCATCACCTCCTGCATCGGTCTGACAAAGTGAGAGTCTGCAGGCTCACTGAACGGGTTCTCCACGTGAGAAACGGTGGCGGATGAGTGGCCTCCAGCAGGCCCTGACTCTGGACTCATTAGGTACGAGGCATCGCTGTCCATTCTGCAGTCACTGGTGGTGTTAGGAATGTTGTCATCGCTGTTCTGACTAGCACCAAAGCCACCACCTCTGCTTTTATTTAGAAAATTTGAGATACTGAATGTAGACTTGTGTTCCAGGTTATTTGACACCTCCATAATATGGATGTCTCCCACCCGATCAGTGCTGGACTGTGGGTCGGAAAAGCTGCGGTCGCTGCTCTCAGGGCTCAGTTCTATCTTCTCTGCACTCACCACCCCTCCCTCCACTTCCACAGACTCACTGCCCTCTGCCTGCGAAGTCACATCACTCACCTCGTCCTGAGGCTCTGGGGAACTCAGCGGCTCAGACTTCACCACCACCCTCATGTGCTCTTTTTCGTTCAGACTGACTTCTGGATTCTCACATGGGAAGTTGCTCTTCTCAGAAGCAGGCTCCTGGTCAAAGCTGGTTTCCACCTGTGTTGCCTGGGACGCCATGGACATCTGTGAGATGTTTCCCCCACTGTTGTCTGACTGGCTGGGCACTTGAGCATCTTCCTGAGCACTGAAAGACTGATCAAACATAATAGTGTTATCCTCCTGGTTATCAGCAACGGCATCAGCCTTTGAGTTGTCCACCATCTTCAGGGAGTCAGGTGAGAAGAAGTCCTCCCGTGAGTGCATCCCTGCCTGCCCGCTCTCCGTGGCAGCCTCGGACGCTGCCTCCTCCAAGGGCGGTCGGACGCGCGGGCGGCCCCGCTCCTCGGACGCCTGCTTCCGCTTGTGCAAGCGGCGGATGGGGAAAGCCGTGCGCTGCTCCATGTTTCCTCTCATCGAGGAGCTCATGGGGTTGGGCTGCTCCTCTGTGCTGGGCGTGGAATTTAAGGCTGAGCTGACAATGCTCAGCCCCAGCTGCTGCAGCATGAAGGATCTCTGCATGCGTGCATTTTGCTCCTGAACTCTGTCACTTGGCGGAGACATGGGCAGTGTCCTGGTGGTAAGGTAGTGCTTGCACGCTTTAACCACTGAGTTCAAATGTAGGTGAGAAGCAGCCAGCAAGACATCCATGACGTTGCTCTCCCCAAGCATTAGTGTGGAAGTGTACATCATGTCTATCAGAGCAGCAAAGGCTTCTGCTGTCACCACTTCACTGTCCAGCTGGATCATGTTCATCGTCTGATCTCCTTCTGCTACAGTGAAGAGGGCTCGGAAGTGTGTGCTACATGCTGCCAGGACCGAGCGGTGGGCCTTGAAGTGCCTGTTTCCCACCACAATGACACAGTCACAAAGCTGGCCATGAAGCCTCTGGTAGTTCAGCTGCTGAAAGATTTGCTCAAAGTGTCCTGGAAAATCCATGGTCCTACAAAACAAAACAGAAGAAATATGAAGAACGGACCACAGGGAAGCCACGTGTAAAAACAACAGATGATGGCTGCAGGGCAGAGGAAGAGGAGCTGCTCTGGAGCTGCCAGTGCCACACTGGCCCTGCACCACAGCTGGCAACCCTGCTCAGGGGCAGAAGCAGAAAGCACAGGTCCTGCCTGGATCTGACCTGCTCCCACAGCCACCTCAGCTCCAGAGGTGAGTAACGCAGCTCATCTCACCCCTGCCAGCTGCTGTCCAAGCTAAAACACATTCCTTGGTAAAACATTTAATCCCATTTTTTAAAAAAGAATCTAGCTGTGAATAAGCTACTGCAACCTTTGATAAATTGCTCACATTGTGAGATAACCTCCCACTGAAAAGTCTGAACTTTCTCATCTCATTTAATTCAGCTTCACCTTCTGCAAATGACTTTCTGCAGTTTCTCTGCTACTGTGCAGAACTGTCACTCAAGTATCTGCTTTTCACACTGAAACGAGAGTTAATGGAAAAGAAGGGAGACCCTTCTGCTCTGGAACAAGTGGTCAGGTCTTATCTCAAACTGCCACCTTTGGCTATCAGAAGGCCAAAACGATTTTCTTATTCACTACAGTTTATCGGCTAGGATGCACTGAGAGCCCTCTGTTTTTCCCACAAAATAAATAAAATGGTAGAAAGAAGGAAAAGTTAAAAGTTGTCTCTGTACTCGCTATTCCTTGTAAACCTTCATGGTCCTTAAGGAAGTCACAGGAAGGTTTTGACAAGATGATGCTCTGCTCAACAAGTCAATGAGACAAATAGAGGGGTGTTTGCTTCTTGGATTCCCAATAAGAGAAGTAAAATCTTAGGAGATTCACCTTAAGACTAAACAGGTGACTTTCAGTGATATCTCTACTTTTTCTCACAACAAATTATCACAGTGTAAGATTTGGGGAAGAAAAAGGTTGCGTGTATGGGGCACACACGTTTGTGTTCAGGTTTATTTCAACAACAATATCATAGAATCATAGAATCTTAGGGGTTGGAAGGGACCTTGAAAGATCATCTAGTCCAACCCCCCTGCCAGAGCAGGGTCACCTAGAGTACATCACACAGGAACGCATCCAGGTGGGTTTTGAATGTCTCCAGAGAAGGAGACTCCACAACCTCCCTGGGCAGCCTGTTCCAGGGCTCTGTCACTCTCACAGTAAAAATTTTTTTTCGGATATTCACCTTGAACCTCCAGTGCTCCAATTTGCTCCCATTACCCCTTGTCCTATCACTGGTCATCACTGAGAAAAGCCTAACTCCGTCCCCCTGACACTCACCCCTTACATATTTGTAAACATTGATGAGGTCACCCCTCAGTCTCCTTTTCTCCAAGCTAAAGAGACCCAGCTCCCTCAGCCTCTCCTCATAAGGGAGATGTTCCACTCCCTTAATCATCTTCGTAGCTCTGCGCTGGACTCTTTCGAGCAGTTCCCTGTCCTTTTTGAACTGAGGGGCCCAGAACTGGACACAATACTCCAGATGTGGCCTCACCAATGCAGAATAGAGGGGGAGGAGAACCTCTCTTGACCTACTAACCACACCCTTTCTAATGCACCCCAGGATGCCATTGGCCTTCTTGGCCACAAGGGCACATTGCTGGCTCATGGTCATCCTCCTGTCTACCAGGACCCCCAGGTCTCTTTCACCTACACTACTCTCCAGCAGTTCAGCCCCCAACCTGTACTGGGACATGGTGTTGTTCTTCCCCAAATGTAAAACTCTGCACTTCCCCTTGTTGAATTTCATCATGTTTCTCCCCGCCCAACTCTCCAACCTATCTAAGTCTCTCTGAATGGCAGCACAGCCTTCTGGTGTGTCAGCCACTCCTCCCAGCTTAGTGTCATCAGCAAACTTGCTGAGGGTACATTCTATACCCTCATCCAGGTCGTTGATGAAGATGTTGAACAACACCGGTCCCAGTACCGACCCCTGTGGGACTCCACTAGTCACACACCTCCAACCAGATTCTGCCCCATTGACTACAACTCTCTGACTCCTTCCTTTCAACCAGTTCCTAATCCACCTCACTTCCTGATCACCAAACCCATACCTGATCAACTTTTCTACAAGGATGCTGTGGGAGACGGTGTCAAATGCTTTACTGAAATCAAGATAAACCACATCTACCGCTCTACCATCATCTATCCACCTAGTAATTTCCTCATAGAAGGCTATGAGGTTAGTCAAACATGATTTACCCTTGATAAAACCATGTTGACTGCTCTTGATGACCCCCATGTCCTTGATGTGCCTGGAGATAGTGACAAGAACAAGTTGTTCCATCACCTTTCCAGGGATGGAGGTGAGGCTGACCGGTCTATAGTTACCCGGGTCCTCCTTCTTGCCCTTCTTGTAGACTGGAGTGACATTTGCTATCCTCCAGTCCTCAGGCACCTCACCTGTTGCCCATGATTTACTGAAGATGATGGAGAGTGGCCTAGCAATGACCTCCGCCAGCTCCCTCAGCACCCTTGGGTGCATTCCATCTGGACCCATTGATTTATGGATGTCCAGATTACTCAACTGATCCCTAACCCAATCCTCATCTACCATGTCAAACTCTTCCTCTATCTTGACTACTTCTGGGGCTATATGAGTCTGGGGCTCATGGGGAAATCCTGCAGGAGTGAAGACAGAGGCAAAGAAGGCATTCAGCACCTCTGCCTTCTTTATATCCTCTGTCACTAGGGCTCCCACCTCATTCCTCAGTGGGCCAATATTGCCTCTAGTGTTAGTTTTGCTAGCTATGTATTTGAAAAAGCCCTTTCTATTATCCTTAACCTGACTTGCAAGGTTAAGTTCCAAGGAGGCCTTAGCTTTCCTAATTGCCTCCCTACATCCTCTGACAACAGTCCTATATTCCTCCCACGTGACCAGCCCCTCCTTCCATGATCTGTAGATTTTCCTTTTCCACTTAAGTTTGCCCAGTAGTTCCTTCTTTAACCATGCAGGTCTCCTAGCACCCTTACTAGATTTCCTAACCATTGGGACGCTCTGATCCTGTGCTTGCAAGAAGTGGTCCTTGAATGTTGACCAGCCATCTTGAGCCCCTTTACCTTCTAGCACCCTGTCCCATGGGATTTCCCTTAACAGTTGATTGAGGAGGCCAAAGTTTGCCCTGTGGAAGTCCAGGGTTCTGATCCTACTGGGTATTCTGTTACTTCCACACAGGATCCTGAACTCCACCATCTCGTGATCACTGCAGCCAAGGCTGCCATTGACCACCACTGCTTCAACAAGGCCCTCCTTGTTGGTTAGTACAAGATCCAGCAGCTCCTCTTCTAGTCGGCTTGTCCACCATTTGCATTAAGAAGTTATCATCAATGCACTGGAGGAACCTCCTAGACTGTGAAAGGCTGGCTGTGTGAGTCTTCCAGCAGATATCGGGGTAGTTGAAATCTCCCATGAGGACCAATATCACAGTACTGCGTGACACAAAAAGATTGTGAAGCAGCTAAAATAAAAGATCACACAGAAGGGATTATACTTTTGAAGAGGGGCATAATGTGGGTCTGCCAATTTAGAAATTGTCCTCAAATTCACATGCTGCAAACAAACCATGTGCTGTATTTGCATATCTGCACAGCCACGAGCTGTGTGAGTAAACTGCTTACAAAGCTTCCCATGGTCACACTTGACCAGTAAAGAAAAGTTTGCTCAGAGCAATGTTTGCATTATTATTATTATAACTCTCTGCAGTGTTTCATCACACAGTGACTCTGCTCAGGTCTGCTCAGGCCAGAGGAAGCGGCTGCCAAGCATATGCATATGTGCAGGGGAAAATGGGTACAGTTGCTGATGCGGAGTGCTAATCACTGTGAAGTTCTGTTCACCTGGATGGACACAGGTGAAATATTCACCTGAAAGGGTCGGCAGAAAACGCAAAACCTCAAAAATGCCAAGAGCAGATCCTGAGATGGCAGGTGTGGACAGGAGCAGGACATGGGCAGACAGGCTCCCTGGCCCTGCAGCAGCCCAGAGCCCCACGCTCTCTCTCCTCTGCTGCACAGCAAGAGGGAGGTGGGCTCGGCACTGACACCCTCCAGACACTGCTGGCAGGGCCAAAAAGGCAAGCAGGGGACAGGAGGTCACAGGTGGGTTTACACACTTGGGCACATGTAAGGAGGCAGCTGTAGGAGGCAGCTGTAGGGACAGAGAGATCCTAAGGCCTTTGGCAGCAGCCGCACTCCAACCAGGACAGTGTCTCTGCCACATTCCCCAGCCCTGGGTCAACACCAGTGATGGGTCATGGGAAGTGGAAGGGTTCTGATCCTCTTTTATAAGGATGCAGGTCTTTTGAACAAGCTCAGCAATTACCCTGCAAGCAGTGAGAGATCAGGCTTCTCATGAGGAAACAACACAAGCTGCGTGTGCCCCAGCTCCCAGTGCACCAGACATGAGCACCCCGGGCACCCCCTGAGCCAGCCTGTGCCCTGGGCACGTGGGACTGAGGGCAGGCAGGATCCCTGCAGAGAGCAGGGCAGGCAAGGCAAGAAAGGCAGAGCAGGAAGGGAAGGTAGGGCAGGCAGAGCAGAGCAGAGCAGAGAAGGCAGAGCAGGGAGAGCAGAGCAGAATGGGCAGACCAGGCAGGCTCTGGACACAGGGGTGCTCTGCACCCAGCCACCCAGCTACCCAGCTGGGCTCTCTTTTTGGTCACCCCACAGCTACCAACCCTGCTGGACCCAAAGTGCCAGTGCCAGCAAGGGATGGGACGGGCAGAGCAGCTGCACTCTGCAGCAGGTCTTGTCTCTCAGTAAAGCTTTGTGTGGCTAGGGACATGAGACTACTGAGGTCCATGGGGCAGAGGCCTCAGTCTGTCTTGAAGCTACCAGACACAACTGTGTGATGCACATGTACCATCTTCTGCTTTGCAGGCTTATGAGAATCCACAGGGAAAACCTGGACCAGGAGATCTGGTTAAGTTTGGCTTTCCAGTATCTGAAGGGGGCCTAAAGGAAAGCTGG